ATCTCAATCAAGAGAACACGGAGTAGCCAAATATCAAAACTCTGATTACCGGATTTTGTTTTTACACTTTGGACCAGAAAAGTTCTTAAAAGTCGAAGAGAAAAACAAAGTAAATGGAAGTGCTGCTGAAAAAAAAAAAAAAAAAAAGCTGTGTTGACAGTTTGCTAAACCCCCCCAGAGTTCAAGTGGCTCACATAAAGTGATGTTTAACAAGATTTACCTGCAAGTGTTGTTAATAAAACAAGGAGCGCCATCTTGACTGTAAATGTTACAGGGACGGCCGGTTCAAACAAACCGCTGGTGTGGGGGGGCTGGATGGTGAACAAATCCCACTGGGAGCTCTGACATTGGAGTTAGGAGGACATAGTGTGACTTGGAGTAAAATATGACATTGGGAGCATAGAGAAGAACAGCTGGGAGCAAAAGTGCAACACACAAATGACTAGTGATGGCTCTGCAGGATCTCAGCCACAATTCTCCCTGTCTGTTGGAAAACACAGCCTTAAGAAAAGAGACTCACCTATTTCATCTGGGTTACATTTCTCTCATTCAACATGGGTAAGCACACAATAACTCACCCAAAATACTACCTAAAATCAGAAAGATGTGTAAAATGTAAATAAAAACAGAATTTAATGGTTTGCAAATCTTGTAAATCCATATTTTTTTCTTCACAATGGAAAATTGCAAACACTTAATGTTTAAACTGAAAAAAAATGCTACCATTTGGAGAAAAATATGGGCAATAATAAATCTTGAAAAATTGGGGATTCTGCCCCACCAAGTACTCCGGTTTTCTTCCACCGACCAAAAAACATGCACGATAGGTTAATTGGTGCGTTGAAATTGTCCCTGGGTGTGGGCGAGCGTCTCGTTTGTCTCTACGTGTCCCTGTGATGGACGTCCAGGGTGTACCCCACATTTCACACAGTGACTGCTGAAGATTGGCATCAGCGCCCTGTGACCCGGAAAGGAGAAACGGGTAAAAAAAAAAATGGATGTATTGATGTACGGGTGGTTCGTGTGACCAGATAAGTTTTATATTTTGCATGAATGTTGGGGAGAAGCTCAGAAGACAGCAGCGGTTTTGGATGATGTTAACAAATGCTTTTATTTTTTTCACATGATCAATACAATGCATTAGTGTACAGCATTCATATTACCGTATTTTCCGCCGTACACGTCGCACCATCGTATAAGTTGAATTAGTCCAAATATGTCTAATATTGTGGGGAAAAAAAAAACAAATACGTCGCTTCGCCATATAAGCCGCATCTATTATGCGTCACCGCTGACCACCCAAAAATGTGGGCCGATGTTGTGCCAGAAATCGATTGGATGCCAAATGGCGGCTGCGGGAGCGTGAACGGGAGGACTTTAACAAGAATTTAACAAGATTAACACTTAAAAACAATTATTTGTTTGCTCGACATTATATCAAAGATGTGTCTCAGTTGAACTTTTACTTAATAAATGCACTTTAATGGTCAAATCAGCTGCATTTCGTCTGGCGGTGCGGCAAAATGCAGCTGATTTGACGCTTGCTCCAGGAGTTACAGAGCGAGACAAAGGTGGCTTTGTATGGCAAGCCAAGTGTCTCATTAATAGCTACTTTTACTTATTAATGAGACACTTGGCTTGCCATATTAGTGGAGGGCCCTCTAGAGGCTGAAAATGGTAGTGTTCAATATTTTCCATGTCAGAATGAATGAAATCATCAGATCTCAGCCAAAAATTTATTATAAATATCGGGGGAAAAAAGTATATTAGTCGCTTCTGTGTATAAGTCGCAGGAATTGGAAATTTATGCAAAAAAGTGCGACTTACCGCGAAAAATACGGTAGTCTGATAGATTGGCTGGACACAAACTAAAATATATTTGATGTAATTTATATCTAATTATAGTACTTACAGGATTCAGATGGCCCAGATTAATATTTTTCTGATTAAATAAGCCATTAAGAGTGACAAACTAAGGTAAAATGACCAAGATTAACTCTTGTTAACATTTGTGCCCCAGAGCCTGAGTCTCTCCTACTTAATTAAATGAGACCTCAGATAAGTCCTGGCTAATAGTTTGCCCCCAAGCTCAACTTCTTCCTCACTGTCTCCTTCAACCGACTGTCTTTTTTCATTACTGAAAGGCAAAATTCGAACATTTATATAATACTTCAACGTTTCTCTCCTCCCACAGATCCTTCCTTATTTATACATTCAGCTTAATAGCTAAAAAGCATAATCCTTTTTCAAACGGGCTTCTTTTTATTGGATAACATCTCCTAAAGCCCAATTTAAAGCACTAAGTTGTCTAACTTGTTGCGCATCAGACCCATTAACAAAAGATCTGATCGACTTACTGCACGTCTGGTCAGTGGATGAATTCTGCTGCAGAGTCCAAAAGGAAAAGTTAAGAAAGCGAAAGGGGATCAATGAGCTCAGAAATGTTTGTGAAGATGAGTGGAAAGAGAGCACTCGGGTGACAGCTTTCCTATAGAGCTGCCAATCATGTGCACAGCACCTGCTGACTCTGAAGAAGACACCTCTGACCAGCGGAAAACTTATCGATCTGAAGTCTCACATTCCTTCTGCACTATTCTTTAGCCGTCTTGTTTGCCTCCGCTTCTTATTCACCTGTCAGCCCGCCAATTAGCTGTAGATTCTGCTCACAGTTCTTCTTCTTCGTGTCAAACACAGTGCTGACATCATCATCAGCCAGCAAAGGTTTCTGAACTGGTGTTGCTCCTTCGGTTCTGAGCAGTTCTGATAGCTCATCCAACAGGATGGATACGGTTTCGTTGAAATACAAGAAACGTCGCTTCAGAAATGAAGGTAGTGTTAAAACTCACAAAAGAAAGGGTTTCCTTTGACTTTTCGACTTCAAATGTGAAACACCACGTGCATAGAGATGTAGCTTATCTGATTTCACAAAGGTTTGAAACCATAATCAGCGTCACGCGGCACACAGGACTAGTTCAGTAGGCAGAAAGATTGGAAATACTAAAGGTGTTTATTAGAAAGTTTCTTTGGGCTGCTCTCTTCTTCAGCGAGCGCCACAGCGAGCATGCACGAGAGATTTGGCAGTTGTTTTACGCTGGACGTAGGTCTGTCGCGATAAACAATAAATCAGTTAATTGCATGATAAACGAAAATAATTGACCTCATTTTCATTTATCGGCTTTATTGTTTCTTTGTGTCTCTCTCTTTCTACTGAAGACACTGGATGACAAAAGGTTCAACTCCGGGGCTCTTCACCGACACCTCCTGGGTGAAAAATGCTATGCTAAAGAGCTCAAACCACACAGAGCATCCGCCATTTTGAGAACCGAAGAAAGACAGCCCATGTCACGTCAAGGGGCCTCCCTCCCATTTTTCTTAAAGAGACACGCTGCTCGCTCCCTCACTATCCATCCTTCGGTTCAAACAGTTTTATACTGCCATCCGGTGGTCAAAAAAAGGTACTACATGCAAAACAAATTAAAGATTGCTTCTTAAGTTTGACAATAATTACTAATTATTGTCAAATTTCAAACAATATTATCGTTTATCGCAATAATTTCTGAGACAATTAATCGCCCAGCAAAATTTATCGTTACAGGCCTAGCTGGACACCCTTCCTTACGCAACCTGGGCTCGAACTCGCAACTTCAAAGTTGCAAGAACGCAGCCTAAGAAGCTTTTATTTTTTTAAAAGGAGTTTTTAGTAATGTAGTTGTTTCTGATTTGAGTTTTCAAAAAAAAAAAAAAAAAAAAAAAAATAAAAAAAAAAAGAATTCTACTTCAGCTGCTCACTTGAAACTTTAGATCAAATGAAAAAAGTAAAAAGTAAAACTGTCCTTCAGGTTTATAAAAAAAAAACCCCAGGTCTGTTACTCCTGAAACCCTGAATGTCTAAAAAAAAACACCCCTCCTGGTTCATAACTGTGAATGTTCATGCTGAGGTTGGGAGTTGGAGGAGCTGGGTGGGCAAAGGAGGTGGTTTGATAGCTTCCTCCAGAGTTGTCCACGGTGTGTGTCAGTGTGGCTTCAGGGAGCTGTCTGTGTGGAGCTGATTGCAGCGCCTCTCATTATGTGGCCGGTGGCTGTAATGGAGTGTGACAGCAACGCGCTGCGCTCTGGATCTCTGTCCTTACAGCCTGCAAAGCCAATTAAACACATTCTGCCCTTCTCTCCTGACTGTCAAGCCCCGCTTTACTCTCAATCACTCCATCCTCCTGTGCTAGCCCCAGCTCCTCATCCACCTCCCGCCTTGTTTGAATCAACTCTCGGCGTTGGCTCTTTCCAACCCTACCAGCAGCACATCTCCGAGCTCAATCACTAGTCCTTCTTTTGCTTCTGGCTCTCATTTCCTGACGTCTACATTCCCACTCAGAACTCCACTTGCGTCTGCCCTCTCCGCCCTGCACACCTCAGCATTCTCCACGTTAACTTAAAGCCTGTCTCCGAGTGGTTTTTTCAGTAAAGCATGACTCCTTTCAGTGGGGGAATGAGAAGTGCAGGGCTGCATGGAGGGGAAGCCTCTGATGGCAGCTTCTCTCTGTGCTACCACACACACACAGTAAAGAAAAAAGAGCGAAGCAGAGGAAGAGAGCATCTCTAGGTTCCTCGAGACCCAGAGCAGTCACAGCCACTTAGGAGGAAAAATGCCCTGCAGCACCAAAAACACACACAGTTCATTTATCACTCCTTCATAGCGCCCTAAAATGTGCACACGCACACACCGAGTAGTCAAACGTGTTTGTTTGTGTGTTTATGACCAGCACTGCACTCCCGCTTTTTAAGTGTTTAAAATCATATCCTCAAAGTCCAGTCTGCAACATGGCTGAAAAGCTCATCTGACATCTTTCCTCCTTCAGTAAAGTGCCCTGACAGCGCCGATCATGTAGCTGCAATAAGCAGAATTCACTCCCTTTCCAGGAAGCACGTCGATGAGTGTGTGCACGTGCACTGCAGAGAAGTGAGTCAGGACAAAGGGAGGAGGGAATAAAAATAAGGTTTGGTACCTGTTTTGAACCAGCCATCATCTGTAAAAGACTCTCTTGTCTCCTGAGGTTTGTTCCAGTACTCTTTAAACACAGACGGACCGCGGACTAGCAGCTCCCCTTCGTTACCCTCCAGACCAGGTCGGACCTGCAACAAGAGGCAAACAGAACAAATCAGAGGAAAGAAAAAGTCCCAAGTTTAGTTTGAATTCGCAAAGCAACTTAATAAGTTGATATAATTTGACTGGTAGCATCCTATGAAGCAACTGGACAGAATAAAAAACGTTGTAGTAAAACCTAATTAATTATTGCAACGGGGTGAGACTAACACAAGTTAGTTCCTGGTGTGATCAAACTGTGTAATGACTGGGATACTGCTCATCCACTACGTTTGTGTCAATTTGTAGTTTAAACCTTCAAAATCCCAAGATTTTATTTTTTTATGATGTTCGATAGGACTGCGAAAAGAATGATTTATTTTTGTTAAAAAAGAAAAGAAAAGAAAAAAGCATTTAAACAAGCCAAAACTTTTTAAACGACCTCATTATCATCGTACAAGCTATAGATTTTCCCAAAAGCATACGAACAAAGTACCACAAAACTATTATTACTATTAAAAATTATTATTTTAGGTATCTCTTCTTCTTGCTTTTTATTAGATGGTTTTGTGAAACTAATTCTTTAGCACAGAGACGGCCTATTCAGTTCAATTCAATTCAATTCAGTAAATTTATACGGCGCCAAGTCACAAAAGAAGTCGTCTCAGGGCACTGAACAGAAACATTAAGATTAAAAATAATAATTTAACATTATTTATCTGAGGAGCAGACTGCTTTGAGTTTAACTCCATCACAGAACTCTCATCTTGAGCAAGCATGAAGGCGACAGTGGACAGGAAAAACTCCCTCATGAGGAAGAAACCTTTAGCAGAACCAGGCTCAGGACAAGCGGACCATCTGCTTCGACCGGCTGGTTTTGGTAGGAACAGATACACAATGGCAGGTCAAGAAGCACATGTTGAGGTATCAAATGAAAACTATTCAATTTTAACAATTCATTTAAGGACATGAGGTCAATTTGTACTCTAGTAGTCTCAGCTTAAGGCAGCATAACAAGCCAACCCTAACTATAGGATTTATCAAAAAGGAACATCTTAAAACTGGACAATGTGTCAGCCTCACGGACAGAAACTGAAAGTTGATTCCACAAGAGAGGAGCCTGATAAATGAACGATCTTCCTCTCATTCTGCTTTTGGAAACTCTAGGAACCACGAGTAAGCCTGTAGTGTGAAAGCGAAATGCTCCGATAGGAAAATATGGAACAATAAGATCTCTTATATAAGCTGGAGCTAGGCTTTTGAGAGCTTTGTATGTTAAAAGTAAGATTTTGAATTCAATTCTGGACTCGACAGGGAGCCAATGGAGAGAAGCTAAAACTGGAGAGATGTGATCTCTCCCACTAACTCCAGTTAAGACTCTGGCAGCAGCATTTTGGATCAACTGAAGACTTTTTAAAGAAGTATTTGGACACGAAGAACTCCTTTGTGTGAGATCATAAACTATCTTCTTCCGTCTTCTTCTTCTATCCAAAAAAAGCAGCTACTGATGTATAGCAGATAAACTGGCCATCTTATTTATCTAATATCCTGGTCAACAACACAGTTTCTGCAGGATAACTGCCTGAGGATGACTTGACTTTGTATTTTGTCATTTATTTGTTACCTGAGTGCCTTTGTGATTTCCCTCCACAACAATGGTGTCGGTCGTGTTGTTCATAACGATTCGAACATCCACACCTGGAAGAGGCACTCCTACAGCTCCTGTCGAAATTTACATACACACACAAAAAGACTTAAGGATCATTATTAGTTCAAGCAGGCATGATGTTTATTTTGTTGGGTTCTGATTCCCTCACAGAAATTGAAAACGCACACACAAGGGAAATTGTTAACAAAGCGAGCACTGACTTCTTTAAGTTGAGCATTTTTCAACTGAAACTGTCAGTCTGCTCTTCCAAGATGGCATTAACGTCCATCCTCTGGGCATAACTGGTCACTGAGCGGTTTGCTGAGCTTGTAAATCTGGAAACAATTTGTCTCAGTCAGCTTGCTTCGACAGTAATGGGAATTTCTGGGCAAAGCCTGATTTAGCTTTTATTGCTAGCATCTAAAAAAAACACCAAAAATCATACAACTCTGAATTTTTTTTTTTTGGTTTGCACTTATTTCATGAGGCTTTCAGAAATCTCCAGCAACTGACTGTACTGTACACTTTTGTCAGTATTTCAGTGTCAACTACTGCTGAGAGCTTGACAGGCTTTCACTAAAACACAACTGCATAAAAATGCTCTAAGGTGACAAGTTATCAAAAGCGATAAAAACCCCGTGTCAAAAACTCAGTGCTCATAACTTGGAGGTGCAGGCACATTTTAATTATTAATAAAGTGTGTAAAAATGCATAAAAATAGTAAATTCCCACAAGTACTGACATCACCTGCATTCTCCTGCTTGTTGTGGCCACAAGTGTGACCTTCAGGGTTAAGTAAAAATGGCAACGAGTGCACAGGGCATGCAAAGGGAGGGTCTCAGGGGTCTTCTCTGTGCACATGTAAAGGTGAGCGTGTACATGTCTGCCTTGAGGCTACAACGCCGTTCAGAGACTATTGCTTTTCAAATGAAGAGCTGGTTGGGTCGTGATTACAGAAGGAGTGTCTCACTCCATACTGATCTAATCAGTTCAAATCCTGAATGAGGGACTGGATTTAAAGAGATCAATATGAGAACAAACTGAATACTAAAGCAACTAGGCTACTTCTCAACGGATCAAAAAGTTTAAAATCATTAGATCAGACGAGCTGGACAAGCCAGGTTTTAATGCCAGCTGCATTAAACACTGCGGCAAAGAGTGCAAAGAAATGTTAATGCCGACCTAAAAAGTACAGCGGCTGTAGCTGAGGTCGGAGTTTCAGCACTTTACACAAACTAACAATTAATACTACTTTGTATTGTTTTTGAAATTGTCTTTAAATCTTTATCAAATTTAAGTTGAGGCTCTAGCACCAACCCAAAGTATTTAAATTCTGCAACAGAGTGAATTTGATCATTTTGTAAATGAACATTAAATTTTTCTTTTAAATCAAGTTTTTTTTTTATTGAGAAACACACGGAGACGGTTTTTGATAGATTCAGAACTAGATGATTTTGAACGAGTCACTTGGAAATCAGACATACAGCTGGATAATACCTTGAAATGAGATTTTTCAAGAGCATAAATGAAACAAAGAAGTATGAGCTATGCTAGTGGAAAATGTAAACATTTCTACTGGAACAACAAAAATAAACTTTGTTTTTTAATTTTCCCCACTGAATTACACATAGTGTCATTGTCATTTACCATTAGCGGGCATAAAACTGCAAAAATAGCTTTATGTCTCAGCTGAAATTATTATTTTTCCTACAGTAATATTTAGTTTGGTGTAATCGGTTTAGATTAATTGCTGTTTCGTAGGGTACATAAATAAAAAAATAACATTATGCTAAAGTCTTTAGTAGTCTTTGATAACTTGTTTTACATATCACATTTATCATCTGTGAACATTAAAGGACCTGACGACGTCCCTTCTTTAAGGGCCATGTTGGAGTGGACTATTTAAACTTTGCAATATCAAACTAGGGCCTTTGGTGTAAGGTATAGGCACAAATAAACGGAAATGGATAATGCTATAAAATGGTATTCAGCCTTTAAGGAATCTAGTTGTGTTTTATTTTGTATGTAAGATCACTGTTCATCAAGAAAGATGATCAGTTGCAACAGTGGATACTGGCACTGGTGGATGATGCAAACCAAGTACTGGTTTAGTTTATTATAATTATGAGATTGGAACTAGAGCGGCACGGTGGCGCAGTTGGTAGAGCGGCCACCTCTCGGCGAGAAGGTTGCTGGATTGAATCCTGGCCAGGGGGCCTTTTTAGGTGCAGTTTGCATGTTCTCTATGTGCATGTGTGGGTACTGTGGGCACTGTGGGCACTTTGGGTATTGTGGGTATTGTGGGTAGTGTGAGCACTGTGGGTACTGTGGGTATTGTGGGCACTGTGGGTACTGTGGGCACTGTGGGCACTGTGTGCACTGTGGGCACGGTGGGTACTGTGGGCACGGTGGGCACTGTGGGCACTGTGGGTACTGTGTGCACTGTAGGCACGGTGGGTACTGTGGGCACGGTGGGCACTGTGGGTACTGTGGGCACGGTGGGCACTGTGGGTATTGTGGGCACTGTGGGTACTGTGGGCACGGTGGGCACTGAGGGTATTGTGGGTATTGTGGGCACTGTGGGTACTGTGGGTACTGTGGGTAGTGTGGGCACAGTGGGTACTGTGTGCACTGTAGGCACGGTGGGTACTGTGGGCACGGTGGGCACTGTGGGTACTGTGGGCACGGTGGGCACTGTGGGCACGGTGGGCACTGAGGGTATTGTGGGCACTGTGGGTACTGTGGGTAGTGTGGGCACTGTGGGTAGTGTGGGCACAGTGGGTACTGTGGGCACTGTAAGCACGGTGGGTACTGTGGGCATGGTGGGCACTGTGGGTACTGTGGGTACTGTGGGTACTGTGGGTATTGTGGGCACTGTGGGTACTGTGGGCACTGTGGGTGCTCCGGTTTCCTCCCACAAACCAAAAACATGCATGTTAGGCTGATTGGTAACTCTAAATTGTCCCTAAGTGAGAGAGAGAGTGAATGATTGTCTCGTTTAGTTCTGTGTCCTTGGAGACCTGTCCTGGGTGTCCCCTGCCTCTCGCACAGTGATAGTTAGACATGGACACCAGTGACCCTTGCGACCCGGAAAGGAAGAAGCAGGTAAAAGATGATGGATGGATAGAAACTAAAAACTTTTGACTTGAGCTTAGATGATCACATAAGCCAATAAAAAAGTGGCACAGCCACACCCCTTTATTTGCAGGAAAAATCCAGTAGTAGTTAATAATTCTCTTCTTTTCTGTTTAATATTGCCACGTTAACCCATCTTATGTTGCTAACAATCTGTCTAAATTGGAAAATGCTAAATAAAAGCTGAAATAAACTACTGAACAAAGTTGTTACATGGAAGTTCAATCTGCCAGTCCCTTTTTTAAACCTGCCTGTGGTCAAGAGGCAGAGTGACAACCCCTCATTGAATTCTTCTCTCCACTGAGCAAAAAGCTGCACTTCACAGAATGACAGAAGCAGCCTCCTCTTCCTCAGTGACAGTCCCTGAAATCCATTCACACTCCCATTTCTCATATTTCCTAGAATAATTTTTGTTCTCGCATCAGAAACTTGACAAATTCTGAAGCCTTGTAAAATTTTTGCTTTGATTCAGGAAGATTTAAGTGTCACTTTGAAGAGTCGAGGCAGAATTAAATGGCGCACGTCTTTGTGGAGGTCACAGAAAGGATTCTTCTACGTTCTCAGAAAAAAAAAAAGCACAAAAAAACAAAGTGGGGCAAAAATAGAGAATCAAAAAAGATGAAAGGGGCAGCAGAGTGAGAGAATATGGAAGATGGATAGAACCAGCGCAAACTAATCTCACATGTTTACATCTCAGCGAGGGCAATATGACCTAGAAAGCAATACTATTGTTAATATACTTCAAAGTGGTAAACTACGCAGCAAAATTAGGCCAGTTAGATGCTCTAAATATGTGGAAATTCATTAATAAAATTCTTGTCAATAAAATGTTTTATGTTGTCTACATGTTTGGTGGCGAGGGGGGAGAAGGCTGAAAACAGGTGCGCGTCTGAAGAGTGGGAAAAAGATGACTCCAGTACACTACTCTTCTCAGAGTGCTTCCTGCGTTGCTATTGATCCATTTTAACCTACTTAAAGACAAGACAGGAACACACCGACTCAAACAAGCTGATGCCTGCACGCACGCAAACATACACAGCTCTTCTACAACTGCTTCAGAGGAAACATCAATAAAACCACAGACTTCTTAAAGCCATTCTTAAAAAACCACCAGAGAGAAATCAAACAGCCTGTGCCGCTCCTTCCCCAACAAATAAACAAAACAACACCCAAACAAGACAAGTGAGGATATCCCAATTCTCTTGCAAGCTAATTAGCTTTACCTGTACAAGGAGGTGCTGGCTGGGGATGGAGACAGTGAGGAGGGAGAGGAAGAAGAGCTGACAGAAGGAAAAGTAAACAGCACAAGTCTGACCTCCTTTCTACGCCGTGATGTTTGTTTGCGTGCGTGAGGGGAGGTTGGGATTGTGGGGTTTTACCTGACATGACAACAGAGAAAACTTCATGATGAATAAAACACACCAAGTAGACAAGCTCCATCAAACATGTGAGGGACGTAGTGTAAAAAAAACGTACTAATGAAGTCTTCAATATAAAATTAGCTACAAAGCAAAATCACTTGTGATTCACAGGATGCAGAAAATGTTGTCAAAGACAGAGGAAAGATGTTCTTAAAATTATGGATGTACACGTAAAAATATGCAACAGCCACAAAGCACCGGCAGCGGTCGGCTGTTTTACACAGCTTTACTGTGACCAACACACAGTTTGTTATATTTAGGTGAATATGATGCAGCATGTTCAGACTGTTCTGCGACTGACAGCACATTATAGCTTACAGTGACCACAGTGGGTCCAGCAGGTCCTAAAACAATCAGATCTGGTTGGACCTCACTAAGAGGTCCTACATGAAGATTACACTGTAATCTGTGCACATTAGTGTGCTGACGGCGGCACGGTGGCTCAGTTGGTAGAGCTGTTGCCTCTCTGCAAGAAGGTTGTCGGTTTCTGCGTGGAGTTTGCATGTTCTCTCCATGGGATTTCTCCGGGTGCTCCAGTTTCCTCCCACACACCAAAAACATGCATGTTAGACTGATTGGTAACTCTAAATTGTCCCTAGTTGTGAGTAAGAGAGTGAATGGTTGTTTGTCTCCATGTGTCCCTGTGATGGACTGGAGACCTGTCCAGGGTGTCCCCCACCTCTCACACAGTGACTGCTGGATATGGGCACCAGTGACCCCTGTGACCCAAAAAAGAAGGAGCAAGTAAAGATTAGGAATGAATGAAAAGTGTGTTGATACCTGTAGCATTATTAGGCAGCACGGCGGCTCAGTGGTTAGCACTGTTGCCTCACAGCAAGAAGGTCCTGGGTTCAATCCCCAGTTGGACCTGGGGTCTTTCTGTTTAGAGTTTGCATGTTCTTCTCGTGTTTGTGCATTTTCTCCGGGTACACCGGTTTCCTCCCACAGACCAAAAACATGCATGTTATGCTGCCTTCAGGTCCAGGCCTCCCTTGAAAAAGAGATCTGTGATCTCAATGGGATTTGCCTTGTTAAATAAATGTTAATAAATAAATTATCCGAACGCAAACCGATAGTAAAAGACAGATTGAAAAACAAAGTCTAAAAAGTAAGAGTGGACAGCTTTACATACAAAAGACAGGAGACAGGCTCCATTTAGAGGAGGTCTACACCACTTTTATTCACTTTAGCTTGTATGTGAATCTGTTCGGGGCCACATTGAAGGAGCACATACTGGCCTAACGTGACTCCGTGCTTTGAGTTATGTTCTGGACATTTACGGTACATTTCTGTTCTATTATTAAATGTTTTTAAACAGCATTAAAATCAGGCATTTGTTGGAATCTTCTACATACATTTTTTTGGCTAACCTGGCTATTTTAAATCTTCTGGAAAAAAATAAATAAAAAATTGTCGGGATTGAATTGTTTAATGGCCAGGATGCTCTTCAAGTTATTTCTCTCTCTGACTGTCTGCAGATCAGATCTGCTTCATACGGAATCTTTGTGGTCTGTCTTGAAACGGCGTTAAAACAATGAAAACCATGAAAAAGTTGAGCATATTGCATTCGACCGGTTCCAAAAATAGATAAAAAAAAATGCAATAAATTGTCTGTGAAGACACTAAAAAAAATCCAGGAGCAATTTAAATGAATTTAGTAAAAAAAACAGATTGATGCTTTCCGGTATATCAATGCATCTTTTGAAGAAACTTCTGTATATTTTTGTTTGTAAATGTATGCATGCGTGGGTGTAGCTGAACTCAAGTACCTGGGATTCGTGGGCCCTTCAGAGGGTTGGACAGCGCCATGCCGATCTCAGTCATGCCGTAGCGTTCCAGCAGCGTGTGTCCTGTAATCTCCTCCCAGCGCTGCAGAATGGGAAGAGGAAGAGCAGCCGAACCTGAAACCATTAACCTGAAAAAGATGAGGCAGAAATACTGAAAAGAACACATTCTGAAGTTATATTATGCCGACAAAACATGTTCCTACATTAATCAAAGATAAAAACCGGTTGATGTTGCTGGAGGAATAAAATCTTTGTGTATCCTCTCAAACATCTACAGTAACGTGTCGTATTGTTATGATGTAGGTGCTTTGTGAAAATCAATAAGTAGGAGGCTGTGTTTCTGGCAAAACTATTGATTTCTGGAGGTTAAAAAAACCAACAACCTAAAACAAACAAAAACAAATATATAATGCATCACGGCTTGGACGAAATATTGGCAGCAAAAAGCCAATGAAATAAAAACTGGAGAAAGCACACAATCATAACAATACTGACTAAAATTGTAATAAAAAGACAAAAAAAAAAAAGAATTCATTGTAAGAAAAAACTGATGAATTAAAGAAACGAATCGCATGCAATATTGGACCATTGATCCATGTGTCGAGGCAGAATGGGGTGTAGTGTGTAATGCTAAAACAGGTGAATACTGGTGATCTAAAAGCAACTGTTCCTCAACTTAAACCCACAGCTGAAGCTGCAGCAGGGAGGTAGAGTCACAAAGACGAACACTTTCAGACCCATTAGAGCTGTAAAAACAATTTAACGACAAAAAAAATGTTTTTTTTTTTGTGGTTTCACTTAAAACAGATCCAAAAGGACTTCCCTCAGTGAGCTGCAAAATAGTTTGCACTTTGTAAGGAGACTGCAGCACAATATATATCTCATTGTGTAACTGATTCTGTAACATTACACAGGGCTTCTCTTTTATATCTTTCTATACTCACAAAGTATAGAAAAGAAAGCATCATTACCGACTAGTAAAGTTTAAGAGATGTATACTTTTCTTTATTCAAGCCTTGTACATTTGTTTCATTCATTCAACCTTTATTTATACAGGTTAGTCTCTTAACGTGGAGGTGTGGTTTAGGTGAGACCCGTATGAAATGTTTAGCAATCATTTTACTGTCATTTCTTACACGTTAGTAAATAAACACGCATACAAGCACGTATGTGTGCAAATGTTAACAAGTTGGTACTAGTTATGGGCAACTATTTTGAGATATATGAAACTAAAAGTGGGCAAGTTGGGGAAAATGAGCCCATCATAATCAGTTAATTTATTTATTACACCTAGTTGTGACACGGAAAGTTCTTTTCTAATGATGCTTTTTTTTTGTTGATGTGTTTTTTTTTCTCCAACACCCACTACTTGTAAGAAAAATTAAAAGAAAAAACAACTCGTAGCTTCCCAGGATTTGTTGTATTTTATTTTGAAAGGATTATAACGTAGAAACTATGTTCACAGGTGAGCGCAGCTAAACATGCACTTGGTTAGCAGAATAAGCAGCAGCACATGTGGGAAGGGGAGCTTTAGAGTCAAATTTTCAAAATAAAAATAAAATTACAAACAAATTTGAAGAGTGTTTCTCTTTTTGCTAAAAATAACCATCTCTAGTTGGTACATTGAGTAAACTGTTCACTTTAAACCCATATTTCAATAAAATTTACAACAATGCTGAAACTAAAAACATGATTTTTTTGTAATATATTTTATTTATTTCTATTTTGTTATGAGTAAAGCATTTTGTATTTGCTGGAAAATATAAAACACAGAATATACTGCTGAAGAATAGTGCTCACAGCTGCTTTGATTACCGGTGAATACTTATCTAAGTAGTACTTCAGAGAACTTACGGGAATCTTTAAGAGGCAGAGTGACAATACACCATCACTCTGTGAAAACTGTGCACAAACACTTCAGCAATTACATAATTATTCCAATGTGAGATTAAAATCGTGGGATTTTATGATGTACAATAGGTAATATAAAAACATTCAAAGCATTTTGAGGATTCTTTGCAGAAAACAGGGCTACAGCTAATAGTCAATGTACCTGATATTGCGAAAACAGACACTTTTAGTTGGGTTTTTTTTAACTACCATATTTTTTTTAACTATAAAGGTGCATTTAAAATCCTTTAATTTTCTCAAAAATCGACAGTGAGCCTTATAATCAGGTTGTGATTGGTTGTGCTTACCAACCTCGAACCAATTTTATGTGGTTATTGTGAATGTGTTGAATAAAGTTTGACTTATCTGACTGTTTTGTTCGCTTGTTTTGTAAAATACGATAAGCCATACGTGTACAGGTATGAATAAAGATTTCTAGATTGTTAAGTAAGCTTTAATTGCTCTGGAAATCTTTCATTTTTTAATTTACATTTTATAAAGTTGTCTCACTTTTTAAAAGCAGACTGCTGCCTGAAAGGAAGCTGCTCGTCACTGTACCTGATTCTCTCATTGCAAACCGCTTTGATGAAATCCTTCACATAAGGCTGTCTGAAGTGCTGATCATAGAACTGGATCAGTTTGGAGTAAATAGTTGGCACGGCCATGAACACGTTAACCTTCGGAGCCTTGGAGCTGAGCAGCATCTCCCACACCTGAGGACACACACAGACAGATAAGCAGAACATATTAGTGAGGAGGGAGGGCGAGGAAGATAAGGAAAGGTTAAGAGAAAGTAGACAGTGAATCCAACACGGGCATTAAAATTATATTATTATATTTACTGTCATTCTGTTAGTGCCTTAAAAACAGGGTTTTTGTTATTTGATGTAAATGGCAGAGTAAAGTCCACAACTTGTCAACAGTGTCAAAAAAATAAAATAAAATCATGATTTGTAAAGGTCAGGAGAAAAACAGAAGACTGCTGGAGGGCAGAGAGGTGCTGCCATTAAAAAAATAAAAAGCTTTGTGGACAGAGCAGTTGACAAATGCTTCTTAACTTACAGAGGAAAAAAAAACACTGACATTACCCAAAGTATCTAACAAAAATAATTTATTATAAATAAAATAAATAATAATTGGTATAACTTATTTTTTCAATATAGTGTATTTTATTCATGGTTATTTCTACATTATTTATTGGCAGTTAAGACTAATAGTCTAAAAACAGGTTTTCCTAAAAATAGGCATCAGCATAAAAATGGCAGCACTTTAAGTTTCACCTTAAACAACTACCGTATTTTTCAAACTATAAGGCGCATTGGGCAAAACGTAACAGTCAAATAAGTCAAACTTTATTCAACTCATTCACAATAACCACATAAAATCGGTTCGAGGTCGGTAAGCACAACCAGAATTAATACATAAATCACACCTGATTATACGGCTCACTGTTGATTTGAGAACATTAAAGGATTTTAAGTGCGCCTTATAGTCAGAAAAATATGGTAATTTAGCAGAAGAAATTTAATTTTTCCCTAGGATGCATCAGACGTGCTACAGCTACATGCTACTGTCGCAAAAACCCCATCAAATTCTATGTAAATTACCACATTTTGTAAAGTTTATGGTGATGTAAAACAGCATTTAAATGAACAGCTATGATATCTGGAGACTGGAGTTATAATAAAACATCATTTTGGTCTTGGTCCCCCTCCAACTAGTAGTTAGCTCATCAATTCGGCCAAAATTAAACTTTATTTCTTCAAACTGAGGTCATTCCAACAGCTATCTACAACAGAGAAGTTATTAATTGTACATGAACTTTTCACATAAACAAGTTTCAAAAGAGCAGACCTATTGCTTTAAGTATAACAGACGGGAAAACCACAATTTAAACTGCTACTAATTTTCGTCTATTTATTGATAGCAATGCACACTGTCAGTTCAATAAACGGCTTTAAATTTGCACCCTTACCTTCACCTCCATCTATCTAAAAATTATAGCAAAAGCAGAAATATTGTTGGCTGGGATTCATACATCTTCCGTTTAACTGTGCCCACAAAATAATATATTGCTACTTCTGTTGTTTTACAGCCGTAAACTGAGCTGTTTGTTATATGGATGGGACTTGTGTGCTGCAACGCGAAATGATTACAAACTGTGGCTCTGCTGTATGTGTGCAAAAGTGCTACATAATTAGCAGTGAAGGATCAATTTCTCATGAAAAAACATGCCCATTAGGCTTTTGTCATTCATTTATCTCTGCTGCTGATGTTAGTTATTTTAAAGAAATTCACAAAACACTTGGATTTTGAACTACGTGCATGAATAAGTATTTAAAATAAAACGCCTAACATTCCTTTCATGCCAGAGTTTTAGACTAAGATCATCTTTTGTTGAGAAATAATAACAATTTTGATCAAACCTGGATGAAAAACAGAACAATCTTATGCAAAAACGCAATAGTTTGAATGATCTTGCATGATGTGAGCGCTTGCATGGACTAAGTGTTGTGAATGACGGTTGGGTACTACCACACCAAATTTCATATTAAAATCTGTAAAACTGAGTTTCAGCCATCTTTGTGAATGTTAATTAGCTCTGGTGACCATCTTGAATTAGACTCCAAAGGTTAATTTGTGGTAGATGTGCATCGATGAGTACTTTCTGTAAGTTTTAGGAATCTTGTCCAGAGATTCTGAGACATTTTGGTAATGGACAGAGACACACTCAGAAACAAAAGTCCTCTTTTTGTCTTTTTGACAGGACGACAGCATGAATTAAATGGTGACCCCCCCATCCATGAGGGGGAAAAAACCTCCTACCCTGCAGTCTTATATTAACTTTACTGTACTTGCCGCCGTACACGCCGCTTTGCCGTATAGGCCGCATTTATTATGCGTCACCGCTGACAACCCGGAAACATGGGCCGGTGTTGTGCCAAAAATCGATAGACTGCCAAATGGCGGCTGCGGGAGCGTGCACGGGAGGACTTTAATAAAAATTTAACAAGATAAACACTTAAAAACAATTATGCGTTTGCTTGAAATTATAGCAAAGGCGTGTTTCAGTTGAACTGTTCCTTAATAAATGCACTTTAACGGTCAAATCAGCTGCATTTCGCCTGGGCGACGCGGCAAAATGCAGCTGATTTGACGTTTGCTCCAGGAGTTCCAGAGCGAGACGAAGGTGGCTCTGTATGGCAAGCCAAGTGTCTCATTAATAGCCACTTTTACCTATTAATGAGACATTTGGCTAGCCATATTAGTCAAGGGCCCTTTAGGGGCTGAAAATGGTAGTATTCAATATTTTCCATGTCAGAATGAATGAAATTGTTAGATGTCAGCCAAAAATTGAGTTATAAATATGGGGAGGGGGGGGACCAAACATGTCGCTTTGCTGTATAAATCACAGGCATGCTAATTTATGCAAAACACTGTGACTTATACAGCAAAAATTACAGTATCTCTATGTTCCTTCAGTCTTCATTTCTTAGGGTAGCATATTCTCCTTAATCTTACTTTCCTTCATCTCTTCCTGCCCTACATATACATCCTTCTCTCTGCATTTCATAATTTCTTGGTACGCTGCCTCAAGATTCGTCCAAAACAGAAAAAAAAAAATCTGTTTTTCCTCTATCATCACTTTCATGTCTGATGGCACCAGAACCTTCTTCATGTGCCAGCAATGTCTAAACTATTCGTCCCTCTTTTCCTCCGTATGTCACAAGCTCACCTAACCTGCTCTCTATGAAAATGTCTTCCTGTGACTTCCTTTGCTTCAACAGACAAATACAGCCGTGGTAATGAAGATACACCAACAATATAATCAGATCGAGTTCCTCAAACTATCACTACAAGTTGATCCTGAAAGCAGGGAGCATTTAGAGTTCACCTGCAGAGGAGAATTATTAAGCGAGCGTGCCCCGACCACGCTGGGTGGTGTCTATCAAGTGCAGTGATGCGCTTCAACCAAGTTCACTCTGGACGGGGGAGGAAGGTAATTTATGTCCATCAAGGAGCTGGTCTCCACCTGGGGGACGAGATCCGGTGAGAACCTGGAACTGCGGAGTGCATCCTAAACAACTTGAGCTTGTTGAGGGCTCAGCTTGGAGATGAACACAGGAGTCCAACACAACTCAACGTTTGCAAGCAGCCACATTCAACAATGAAAAGCCTTGAAAAGCTGCCGTGCTGTCTCGTGGAAATTGCGTGTTTTCAAAAAAAAATTTGCAAAAACAAACGTTCTAGTCACTGATACTGCAGGAGTCTGGAACCCTTAACAGGCTCTTGAATTTATCAAAAGTGCAAGAAACATACAGTATGAAAACTGTACAGGAGGGTAGACTAGACTTCATTATGATGGGTTGGAGAGTGACTGCTGGACATGGGCACCAGTGACCCCCATGACCCGAAATGGAAGAAGCAGGTAAAGACAATGGATGGATGGATGGATGAATGGATGGATGGATGGATGGATGGATGGATGGATGGATGGATGGATGGATGGATGGATGGATGGATGGATGGATGGATGGATGGATGGATGGACTACATGTGACTTGGCCATATAGAACAAATTTGGCTGTGGAGATTTTTCATCTGTTATAACTATTGCCCCCACTATTGTGTGGCAATCACATGAAGTTTAGATGACAATCACAAAAAAACTAACAAACAAAAAAACCCACATTTTGTTGCATAACTATTGCAGGCCATTCTTCAGACTATAAAGTAGCAAAAACTAAAATTTTTGGCAAAGTTGGACCCAGCTATTTCCATGGTCACACATACTTTAGTAGCCAACCACTCCCCAACATCCTCAACCAAGTGAGAAAAAGGACTGTGGCTTAAATTTTTGGGGACTATATATATTTTTTTGGGGACTA